GTTACAGCCCACAGCAGGTTTCAGCCTTGGCAGGGGGGCGAAAGAAGGCAGGCAGACCCAAAGGGGCCAGAAGCACGAAGAGACTGACCAGGGCAGTCAACGGTCTCAGGAAGAGACGGGCAGACGTGTCAGCCGTGGGCAAGCTCCAGCTCTACGAACAGGCAGACAGGCTGGTGGCAGACTCAGGCTCCAAAAGGGATGCCAGAAGACGCCTGCAGGCAGAGTACGGCATCAGTGAGTCTTTTGCCACGAGCCTCTTGAAGCCAGCCAAGAGAGCCAAGGTGGAGCAGTTCGTGCAGACCACTCCGCAAGGCAGAGATGGTCTCAGGCCCCAAGGCAGCCACCTAGGCTACTGCCACCTAGGCAGCAAGAGCCTAGGCAAGAGGCTGCCAGGTCCAGGCAAGTCCCTAGGCAGGCCAGACTACCTGAAGCCGGTTTGGCAGCAGACAGCCAGGTGGAGTCAGTACGAAGAAGCCAACCAACAGACACTGTCTCCAGCAGACCTTCTAGACGACTTCCTAGACAGACTCGAGTTGCGGCTCGCAGTGAGGGAAGCCGAGGAGAAGGCAGGCACTCTGACGCCTCAGGCAGAGGCCGAGCTGCAGGCACTCCGACAGAAGCAGCAGAGCATGCAGACGAACCAGAAGGCCAGAGAGAAGTACAAGGCCTCGCTGGTCGTCAAGTGCCAGCTTCGCAGCCGTGCCTGCCAGCAAGTCAAGAACCTCAGTCCGGCAGAAGAAAAGGCCAGAATGGAGGTAGCCTGGAGGATCTGGGACCAGACACTCCAGGCGGCGGCAGACCCCTCCGGCGATCAGGCTTTGCCAGTCGCTGAGCCCCACGACTTCGCTGCGAACAGGGCAGAGACAGCGATCACTCTGTCAGACCAGATCCCAGTCTGGCTGAAGCCGACGCCAGGCAAAGTCCTCACCAGCCTCCTCAGGCTCAAGGTGGCCAGTGAGCAGAGGAGGGTCAGACGGGAAAACAGACTTGCTAGGAGTGGGAAAGGCCAGTCAGCCAAGGCAAAGGCCAAGGCAAAAGCCAAGGCACAGGGCAAAGCAAGGCAGGCCAAAGCCGGGCCCAGAGTGAGTTGTGCAGCCAGGTCTCCAGGCCTCGCAGCCAGGTGGCGGGTCAGCCTCGTTGCCAGACAGAGAATCCTCAGGTGCTTCCAGCCACAGCGAGAGCCACAAGGACTGGTGTCGAGTTCCATCCTGGTTGTCTATATGGACAACACTGCAGGCTGGAAAACATCAGTCAGAAAGGCTGCTGGCTGAGAGACGAGGAGTTCTATGTCAAAGACAGGCATGTAGTCCGACGTGCAGGCGAGAGAGTCCCAGGCCAGATCATGAAGAGCTGGCGGAAGCTGCGAGCCAATCAGCCAGAGCTCTTCGCAGACGATGCAGTGCGGATTTGGAGTCAGCCTGCAGCCGTGGTAGACTCCGTGATCTACAGGTGGCAGCTGGAACTCGAGGCAGAAGAAACCCCGCAGGCACTGAACCTGGTAGACTACTTCGCAGCCGCCTGGACCCCAGACAGCCTCCACGCAGCAGCCCTGCTTCAGAGGGCACAGGTAGGTGTCGCTGCAGGCTGCACAGGCCTGAGCCAGGTCACTGACATTGGCTTTGCCAGTCAGGCAAAGGCCGCTCTGCACAGGTGGTCCGAGGATGTCAAGCAGGCCATGCGGCTGAAGGCCCGCAGACAGGGAGTCCCCTGCACGTACAGGACTCAGTGCTCGGACATTCTGAAGGCAGCCAGAGCCATGCACAGCCAGATGGTCAGCCAGAACCTGCAAGAAAGGACTGTCTTGCGGGCAGCCAGGCAGGGCGGTTGGCTACACTACAGGCCTGACGAGACAGGCAAGCTCCAGCTTGTCCAGGACCAGGCTTGGGCTGCAGACCTGCAGGAAGGCAACGACAAGCTGGGTGCAGACCATCTTGCAGACAGAGAGTCGTGGGTGCAGGCAGGGCAGGTCCAGCCGTTCACAGACGAAGAGCTGAAAAGCAGCGAGAAAGCCGATGCCATGCAACTCGAAGCGACCTACCTGATCAGTCAGTCCACAGGGGAGATTGCAGGGCTCAGCCTCACAGACTTTTCGCTCGGCCTCTCAGTCCTGGCTCAGACGGAGCAAGAGTTCCTCCAGCGAGCCCAGGAGGCTCTGCCTCCTTCGCAGAGGAGGATACTGAGAGAGGCAGTCGTGAGCCAGACCACCAGTCAGCAGCACAAGAAAAGACAGAGACAGAAGTCCAGGTTTCACGCAAAGCAGGCTTTGCAGGAGTGGCGACAGCAGAAAGGCAGACGCTCAGCTGAAACCGTGCTGAAGCAGCTCGTGCCTCGAGCGGGCAAGAAGGCAGGCAGGCCCTCACTGAAGCTGAAGCCGTCGCTGAAGCAGAAGCCTTCGCTGAAGTTCAAAGCTTCAGCCAGCAGCAAGCCCAGCCTGGCAGAGAAGGAGCTCCGCAAGGACCAGGAGAAAACCCAGGCCAGGAGCAGGCAGGCACAGCAGCAGAAGGCTCCGACAGCCTTTGACGGGCCCCTGAAGGGGAAGCAGGCCCGTGTAGTCGGAGACACAGTTGTGCCAGCCAGTCTCCGAGGCGAGGTAGTCCAGCTGTTGCAGCAGACGGACACAGAAGTCCGAGTGCAGGCAGCCTCAGGACAGCACTGGGTCAGGCAGGCAGACGTCACCACAGACTGCTGGGACAAGATCTGGCCAGACTTCCTAGATCTCAGCCAGGTCAGTCCCAAGACGCTCCAGGCAGAGGAGCAGCACCTGCGAGACCTGGCAGTCTACCAGAGTGGCCAGCTGCTCACAGACTCGCAGCTCCAGGCAGGCCTCGCTCAGACTGAGCGACGGAGGCCAGCCAGCCGGACTCCATGTCCTGCAGCCAGCACAGCTGGAAGTCATCCTGCAGACAGGCCAGTTGCCGCAGGAGCTGCAGCCAGAGCTCCAGGCAGCTCTGCAGGCAGCCAAGCCCATGCTCGTGCTTGCAGTCGTGCACAGCCAGACTCCCAGACACTACAGCCTCGTGGTGCTGGAAAGAGACGCAGACAAGCACATCTCTGTGAGACTGAGAGACTCTCTGCCCAGCGAGTCAGCCTACAACAAGTGCTTGCAGCTGCAGAAGCTCTTCTTCCGGAAGGCAGGCCTGCCAGACAACAAGCCACTGCCTCCGCCGGCGGGCTCTTTCAGACAGAAAGACGGCTTCAGCTGTGGCCTCTGGGCCATAGCCTTCGCCGAGGCAGAGTGGAGGCTCTTCCTGGGCGAAAGCAGGCAGGCACTCGACCTGGACCTCGCGACGAGAGTCGACAGGCTGAACCGGTGGATTGTTGCCCTGCTGCGGACCAGACACTCGAGGCAGGTTCAGCAGCAGACAGCGAAGGATGCTGCTGCAGCCTGCCAGCCACACCAGGCAGCAGCAGCAGCAGCAGCCGCAGGCCTTGCAGAAGCTGCAGTCAAGGCCAAGACTGCTGCGGAGGCTGCACAGCCGCCACAGCCTCCGGCAAAGCCAGTCTTTGGGTGCAGCAAGTGCAGGCACTCGCCTCTCGGATGCCTTCAGTGCAACCCAGGCAAGTTGCTGAAGCATGCTGCCAAGCAGGAAGCTGCAGAGGCAGCCGCATCCCAGAAAGAGTCTCAGGCCGCAGAAGCCTCTCAGGCAGGTCCCTCCCACGCTCAGCCTGAGGCCGCAGCATCTGCAGCAGAGGAGAAGACTGCGAAGCCAGAGAAGAAAGTGAAGAAGGACAAGAAGGAGGGCAAAGTGAAGAAAGAGAAGAAAGAAAAGAAAGAAAAGAAAGGCTGACAGGCCCTGCGATTGCACCTGCCGACAGCCTCTCCTGCACGCGGCTTTTTCCCACGCGAGGCTCCGCCCGACTGAAGCCCGGGCTTAGTTTGGCAACAGACTCGCAGCACAGTGTTGCAGTCTCAACCGCTCTGACTCTTGCAGGCAGACAAGGGGATTGTTTGCCTTCTTGGAACTCCAAAATGAGACAGACTTGCAGCCACGCAGAGAGACATGGAGAGAAAGAGAGACGACGACAGACTCCAGCTGTGAACTTTGCCGCAGCCGCTCTCAGGCAGTTAGGCCCCTTAGGCAGCTACTTGGCCAGTCTTGCCCCTTCAGGCGGGGCTTGCTGATTCTTCAAGAAAGACAGACACACGAGCTCCTTCATCCTTGCGAGGGTTGAGGCCCAGCCCAAGTCAGTTGCTAAGAAGCCAGGCAGCAAGGCTAAGGCCCAGCCCAAGTCACTTGCTAAGAAGCCAGCCAGCAAGACTAAGGCCCAGCCCAAGTCACCTGCACGCAGCAAGGCTAAGGCCCGGCCCAAGACTGCCAGGAAGCCCAGGAACCAGGCTCAGAAGAACTGAGAGGCCAGGCACAGCCTTTTTTTTTTCTGCTACGGCTTCCGAACGAAGTGAATGCATGCAGGCAGGCTGCAAGACGGCCTTGGACACGGCTCAGGCCCACAGTGTCTCCGACACTGCGGCTCCAGCCTCAGGAACACCCCTTTGATATAAAAACCCCCTTAATATAAAAACCCCTGCCCCGGCACGCCGCCAGCAAGGCTGTTTTGGAGCCTCAACGACCAGCCGGGGGCTGGGACCTTGGCACCAGACTGGACTTACGGAATTAAGTCTTAAGTCAGACTCCGTCCTGTTCTTCCAAGGCAGTTTTGAACAGGGCCACGCAGTCTTCAGTGCGAGGCCCGGAGTTGCAGAAGGGGCGAGTCAGCACAGACATGTCGAAAGTGCTCTCCAGTCAGTCTTCCTTGCAGCTTGCTTCGACAACCGCCCTGTAATTAATTAGGCTCAGGCAGACAGACAGTACGCAGGAAAGTGTAGACAGCCCGCCAGTGCCATGGCCCCGAAACACACTCCGGCAAGAGCTGTGGAGGCGACCAAGCAGAGGTTGGAGGTGGCCTCAGAAGCAGACAGCGAGATCTTGGAGCAGGCCGTCGTCGGGTTGTCAGCAGACAGCAGACAGAAGCTGCTGGCTTTGCTGGCACAACAGGCAAGCAGTCAGGACGGCCAGGCTGCACCTCCCGAGCAGAGCGAGGCAGCCGCTTCCGCTGGAACTGCCTCAGACCGCCCGCCCCTGGTGCCTGGCTTGGTGGCACAGACACTGCCGAGACAGTTGCTGCCGGTGGTGCCACAGAGAGCGAGGAGCCAGTTCCCGCCGCTGCTGCCACAGAGAGCGAGGAGACAGTTGCTGCAGCCGCTGCAGCAGAAAGCCAGGCAGTCCCTCCTGCTCCAGGTTTGTCTGCACAGGCAGACCCCAGTCCCGCTGAAACTGCAGCCTCCGCCAAGGAGGCCTGGGCAGACGTTGCAGACGAAACTTCTGCCAAGCCAGTCTCGGCAGACACTGCAGCAGCAAGTCCTGCCCAGCCAGACTCGGCAGACTCTGCAGCCTCGGCTTCTGCCGCCCAGACAGACTCGGCAGACCCCGCAGCCTCAACTCCTGGGAAGGCAGTCACGCCAGACACTGCCGTGACGCAGACTCTCTTTCGTGAGCGAGCCAGACAGTCGCAGCCTTACAGTACCAAGCCTGCAGACGGGAAGACAGCAGTCTTTCCGAAGCCTCCGCCGTCAGGCAACCTCTGGGGCAACTACAGACCCGGCGAGGCTGCAGGCAGTGCAGACAAGGGAAAAGGCTGGGGTGACTCGCAGTGGGGCCAGCCAGGCAAGGGCTCCTACAAGTCAGGCAAGGGCTCCTACCAGCCAGCCAAAGGCTCCTACACGCAGCCGGAGTGGCAGGCAGACAAAGGCTTGGAAGGGCTCAGGCTGGGGCACGCAGACAGAGCAGACGAGCCAGACGGGCGACATTCGGGGCATAGGGCATCACCGAGGTGTGCCTTATGTCTCAGTCGAGCTTGTGGGCGAGTCAGGCCAGCTGCCCCACTGGGAGCCTTACACCAGCCTCTTCTGGCCACTGACACCGAACAGGTCAGCCAGGTTGACGGCAGAGTACCGCAACAGAGGCTTCAGGCTGGCAGGCTTCTGCCTAGCCCCCTGTCCAGTCTGCCAGGTGTTTTCCTGCAGCCGGCCAGTCACGACAGACAGTGACACCAGTCATCCCAGCCACGTTTGCAGCCGGTGCTATGTACCAGGCTGGGCACCCAGGCAGGTGCAGTGAGCGCCAGTCCAGACAGACAGTCACTCAGTCTGAGCCTTCCAGACGTGTTTTTTTGAAGTACTTTTCGTTAGCCGCCGGCACAGACCGTCAGCTGTCGGCCGGGCTGACCAGTCAACCAAAAAAGACAGAGTTAATTGCAGCCAGAGAGACAGGGGCAAAGACAGGCAGGCTCAGCATTTCTCTGATGGCTTGTGCTGGCAGGCTCTTTAGTCCTCCTCTCTCGAGGAGCGAAGCAGCCAGTGCCTCAGCACATCAGCACACCGGCCTTCAGCCTGCACGCGAATGATGAGGTCGGCACAGACCTCAAGGAGCCTGGGCAAAGAAAAGAAGCCTCGGACCGTGAAAAACCGCAGCTGCACAGCCAGAGAGTCTTTCAGCCTCCGTGCCCCAGTCACACTTGCCAGGCCCAATGCTTTGTCCCTGTTCTTGCATGTGCAGTCATGGCTGCCGCCACCAGGCAGTAATCATGGCTTCCTGGGACACAATCCCCGAGGGGAGACAGCCAGGCAGCCTTCCCACTGCCGAGGCAGGAGCCACAGTCATTCATTCAGCAAGACTTTGAAGAAGAGCCCACTTCAGGACACCTTCCTGGCGAACTCCGCCCAGGACGCAGCCAGACAGCTCGAGGGGGTCAGCAGCACTGGTGCCGAGGCAGGTGCACCGGCCCCTGGCAAGGCCGACAGCCTTTGGGTTCTTATGTAGCCAGTCAGTCAAAGCCAAGGGGTCGGAGCAGACAGAGACCCAGGCAACCGCAGAGGCAGGATCCTTTAATGCAGCAGACAGACAGAGGTGGCCAAGCCAGCTTGCCCAGGCCAGACTTTTGCACGCCAGCCTGCTGCAGACGGCCGCGATCAACAGGCAGACTGCAGCCATCGAGAGGCAGACAGCCCTCCTCTTGGAGATGCAGGCAGCTACCCCGCAAAAACCTAATTAACCCCGGAACCCTAAACTCAAGCCAGCTGAGGCCATGGACACAGACAGTAACGAGGAACTCCACGCCATCGGCAAAGCAGTCTGCATGGCGGAGCGGAGACAGGTCCGCCAAACAGGTCATTAAATTAATTGCTAGACAGCCAGACCATGCTCCGCCAGGACGACTACTGCCGCCTGCAGGCAGACACCTCGAGACACTACTGGCAGGCTAGAGTCTCAGCCAACACCTTCCCTAAACCCTAAACCCCTCAGCAATTCCTGAACAAAGCCTCTGCCGCCCAGGCCGACAGCACGGCTGAGTACGGCAGACAGACAGTTCTAGAATGGGGGGCCCGCCTGAGACAGGCAGGCCCCCCATTCAGCTGGCTTTTGCTCTGCTTCAGGCCGTAGGCAGACAGACACTGCCCCAGACAGTCAAGCAGGTTCTGGTAATTAATTAGGGTTCCAGTCAGGTGCAGGGGCTTAGGACAGGCAGCTCCAGTCAGGTGCAAGGCTTCGGACAGGCAGCCCTTGCAGGCCGTAATTAACCCTGAACCTTAAACCCTAAACCCTAAACACCAGGTTGTGGGTTTAGGCTTCAGACAGGCAAGCTTGACGGGCAGTCTTCGCAGACAGCTTCTGTTTCCCTAGAGGCAGACAGACACTGCCCGAGACGGTCAACCAGGTTTTCTGCTAGGGCTTTAGGGTTTAGGGTTTAATTAATTAATTAATTCATCAATTCCTTACCCTGAACCCTAAAGCCTAAACCCTAATTAATTAATTAATTGATAATTGATTAATTAATGAAACCCTAAAGCCCTAAACCCTAAAGCCTCAACCCTAAACCGTAAGCTTCAGACAGGTTGACCAGTCAGACGGGCAGTGCTCGGCAGAGAGCTTTTTTTTGCAGGCAGTCATGCCAGCAGACCGCCGTAGCTGCAGCCACGGCAAGTCTGCCAGACAACCAGTCCTTCGGCTGACGCAAAGAACAGTTGGACAGGCAGCCCCTAAGTCCCTAAACCCCCCAAATATTAAAATCACTTGAAGCCCTAATTAATTAATTAACTAATTCGTAACTTAATTAATTATGCCCTAAAGCTCCTCCTAAACCCTAGAGCCCTAAACCCTAAGCCCTAAAACCCTAATTAAGCAAGCCTGCCTCAGACAGCCAGTGCAGACGGCAGGGGTCAGTCAGTAGGAAGGGACAAGCAGCAGAGACAGACAGTTCTTTTCTTGCAGCCACTCAGCCCGACAGCTTTTCGAGCCTCCTCCGCAGTCAGTCTTCCAGGCCCCACTTTTACATGGACAGACAGCTAGAAACAGTAACTGACTAATTAATTAAGTAATTAATTACTCAGCTGCCAGGCAGCATGGCCGCTCAGGGGTCCCAAGACACCCAGGCAGGGCTGTAGTTAGGGTTACGGTCTTTAGGGGTTTCAGGGTTTAAGGGTTAGGGTCTTAATTATTAGAGGTTTAATTCATTAAGTACTTCGAGGTTTGGGGGTTTAGGGGTTTAGGGATTCATTAATTAATTAATTAATTAGTTGCCTGCCCAGGCAGAGCTGATCCAGGCCCTGGCGGCCCAGACAGCCGAGCTCCGCGACCAGACAGTCGCGATTCGCGAGCAGACAGACTTGCTCAGAGCCATGCAGGCAGCCCGCCGCACCTAAACCCTAAACCCTCAACCCCCAAAACCCTAAACCCTAATTAATTAAACCCTAAACCCCCATGCAGGCAGTGGAGACAGACACCAACGGCGA